CCCCAAAACCCCAAAACCCCAAAACCCCAACTTTAGAGTCCTGGTTGAAACATTTTAATATGTAAAACTCTTTTTGAGAACCAGACGTTTTAGAATTACCTATTTAGCGTTTTTTCAAACTTTTTAGGGATTTTCTAAGCTGTGAATACTTCTGGAGCCGATGGGGTGAATACTTCCTAGATACAGCTCTTGTTCTCCTCAGTTTAGATACACTTGAATTTGTTTTTGACTTTATCTAGTTAATTTAGCATAAATTGTTCTTACTTTCTTTGATGATTTTAGCTTTTGGGTTCTCTTTAATGATTTGTTCTTGACTGATACTTTCTTTATCCCACCGAAGTTGGGATTAATATTTTCTGAATTATTCTTTCTTTTCTTGAACTTCCTGATTGGCTTTTTGCTAAATGAAATAGCTGCCTTCTCAATCCTTGATTCTCTTAAATAGTCCCCATTCACCTCAGTATCTCAAAGTTGTGGGTAATCTTGCTTTAATGTGATTTCATTTGTAGTGTAATCAGGATTTTTCTTAGAGCAAAGAGTTTCAAATCTAGCCTTGATCCTTTCCATTTTGGTGTTCTGGCATATAATTCACCATTTGAGGAAGATCTTTCGTAACACTCAGAGCCGTTCCTCTTTTGTAATATCTTCAATTTCTTGATTGAGAGTTCTTTTTATACGAATTTCTAAAGGATATTCATGCATTCTAGAATCAGAGGTAGGTTCGAATTCATTTCTATTACTATTTATAGGGTTAGAATCTTCAATAGTTGTATGAACCTTGTGATTTGTCACTCTGATTGATCTAAAATCAGTAAAATCTGCTTCAGGAATCTGTGCATTTGTAAAATTCATTTCATGTGGGCTAATATCTCGGAATATTTCGGAATCATCAGAATCCTTTGATTCATGTGAATTCAGTTTGTCTACATATGGCTTTCTTATCTCAGAATACTAGAATTTAGACTAAGATTCTTACATAGCTATCAGATTTATTATTCTGAACTTCAACATCGTCATATACTTTAAACCTATTTTCTTTTTCGAGATTTATACGAGGTTTATAGCTTAAATAGTTATCTTCAAAGATTGAGTGATTTGAAGCCATGACTTGAGTCCATTTTCTGAAATAATTTCTGACGATCAAGAAATTATGCTTTTTATTTTACTTCAATTTCAATGGCTATACTAAAGTGAAGAATTTACCTTTAGTTCTGATACTTTCTTCATAGTATGATTTTCACCATGCTAAGAATACTTTCTTTAGAAGACTCTTTTTCCTTTTAGTTTCAAAAAGTCTAACTACATTGTCTAAGAAAGACCTAATGTTGATCTTAGGAGTGTCTATAGAACTCTCTATGGTTTGCTTTTGGATCCCATAAGGTTTCCATTTATCAAAAGAGGGCTCAAAAGTCATTAAGTCTTGCCCTTTTTCTGTATAACTTTCCTCTGGATGTTCAGCCACTTGCGCACTAGAGTTCAAATTAAAAATTACTTTTTCTGGCCAAGATTATAGTTTATTTGCTTTATTACAGAGTCATATTGGTTCAAATCAATTGACTTTGTGTCTTTATTTCCAATGATTTTACTTTCTTCATTAATCATATGAGAGGAAGCAGTCAAATTTAGGGAAGGATTTTGCCCAGTGTTCGAAGAATAATTTAATATACTTTGAATTTGAGGGATGCATCTACTCTTGTCATTAAAATCGTTCATATCTTGATAGATTCTAGTATAACTATTTGTTTGAGCTAGTTTATTATTTTTCTTTGTCTTAAATCGTCTTGAATCATTGTTTTGTTCATCTTGTAAATAATGTTTATAATTTTTCTTTTCATCTGTCCTGAACTTAGTCTCTGACTCCTTATTATCAACTTCACTGTGGTCAGAAATTTTCTGAGTGATTAATCTTCCATTGATTTCTTGTAAATTTGTGAAATTAATTTCTTAATTTATAAACTACATCTGGATCTTCTTCGATATAATTTCCTTCATAAGTTATAGCTTTTAGCAAGCAAGGGTTTCTTATATTATGAAAAAGAGAGTCTAAATTTTGGACCTTATTATACGCAAACGAAAGCCGTTCCAGAATCGGGAAGTTTCTCAACCCTTCAAAGGACTCTATCTTATTGTGATTCAATGATAACTCTATTTGTTAAATAACATTAAGCTCACCCTTTACATGAGGAAATTCGTAAGGAAAGTCAAGAACCTCAATATTTCTGTAATGAATTCTTAAGCATTGAGCTTGGGTGTTTGGTGGATATAGTCTACAATATTTAGATATATTCCTGTCTTCCATTTTCCCACAATTTTTAAATGAATTTCAAATAATTAAAATATTAATGGGGTTTTGGGGTTTTGGGGTTTTGGGG